CAAATTGTAATGTCACAAAGACATGAAGTTAATGAAGATATGGATGATCAACTAGAAAATATGATATGTAATATTGGAGAATCTTCTTTTAGGAAGTATTATATTTATGATACTTTGTGTATTGATAATGATGTGTCATTATATAAGGGGTGCACAAGTTTTACACGATTATCTATGGTGTTAAAAAATTTTAATTTGAAGACAAAAAGCGGGTGGACGGATAAAAGTTTCACATAATTGCTTGATTTGTTGAAACAAATGCTACCAGAAGATAATAATTTACCAGGTCATTGTTATGAGGCCAAAAAGATATTGTGCCAAATGAGTTTGAAGTATATCAAAGTACATACATGATATAGTGATTGCATATTATACAGGAAAAAGTATGGAAAATTGGATCAATGTACAAAATGTGGTAAGTTGCGCTACAAGATGAAGGACAACAGTTGTGATGACTATGGCGATGTTAGCAAGAAACATCCTCCTGCTAAAGTGTTATGGTACTTGCCAATAATTCCAAGGTTCAATAGAATTTATGCTAAAGAGTGAACAATGCAACTTTTAGAGTATTAAACACCAACCTTCTGATGATGATGTTATACGGCGAGGATGCATTTACTGTCAAATACCTTACTCTGATGACCTTTGCATTATCTCCACTTCTAAAGACAATCATGATAGGAAAGTGTCCAAATACATGGACCTATTCTTGGGAGAAACCGACCAAGGTACCTTTAAAAGGTAGCAACTCGGATGTATCATTGTGCATGCCTTTGAAAGAGTCCTAATACAAGATGACAGCAGAACTACCCAAGTCGATTAACACTTGCTTGACAATCCAATCATGAATTTGTACTTTTACAACCATATGATCATTTTCATGCGCCAATACCCCCTTTGAATCCCTTGTTAAAAAGATGACAGCGACAAATCTTTTTTCTTCTCCTAAAAACAACTTTTGTGAAAAATGAATTATCGATTGGGCGTATCTCTTTCTGGATGATCTGGGATGGACAACTATTTCCTGTTGATCCTCCAACATCTTTTACGTATGCATGTAACTGCCCTCTTTGAATTAGAATATTAATTTCTATTTTGAGATGATGGAAATCATCAGTATGATGGCCTCGAAGACGATGATATGCACACCAAGCATCATCGTCTTTTTCTATCACATCATTGGCCCTCTCGGGGAGACTTAGTTCTGGCAATAGTTTGAGATGGTACACTTTATGATAACTTTCATATGGCCTCCGAGAATGTTTTATCGCCAGTCTTTCCCTCGACCCGGGTTTGTGATGATTTTTCATGAACTCGATTCCATCATGCCTAGGTTTTTATTTCTCCTTAGCAACTCATAATCTATTCTCCATGTTGCTTTCTTTGACCTTTATATGACATTTTTCTCTATTCATCACCTCGTCCACGCTGAAAGTTGGTTTTTGTGTTAACGACCCATTGAAGTGCACGACTTTAAGATCGTTCTAGAAGGCCCCCATGAACATCTCTTGATTTGGGTGGGAAACTTTAATTTTTTTTCTTCATTTTATCGCGCTGTATATTCTTGGAGTGATTCAGAGTGCCCCTACAAACGTTGAACAAACTTGTTGTAAACACCTTTCTATGTTTTCTAGATGAAAAATGTCGTACCATTTTCCTTGTAAGATCCTGGTAACTAATGACAAGGAATCTAGGCAAGCTCATATACCAATGTAAGGCGGAATCCTTGAATGTTCCCGCCATGAGCTTGCATTTTGAGGAGCTGGCGGTGCCGGCAATTTCCATTTGATTGTTGATTAATATGATGTGTTCGTAGGGGTAACTTTTGCCATCGAAAGATGCCAAGGATGATGGTTTGAAGTTTTATGGAACCTGGTCGTCCCATATCACTCCTGCAAGAGGCTATGGATCAAGAAGCTCTTCTTATATATCTTCATCCTGCTCGCTCAGAGTTTTCTAGAGTGTGTGAATACTATCCTGCAAAGGGATTCTTGCAAAGATAAGGTATATATTTAATGAGGTATTTGCACCAGCTGCTAGTATCGAAATCATAAGGCTAATTATTAGTATTGCAAATAATAATAATTGGTATATCAATCAAATGGATGTAAAGTCTGCATTTTTGAATGGCCTGCTTGAAGAAGAGGTGTATGTAGAACAAATCCCTAGTTTTGTTGTGAAAACCAAGAGAGGAGATTCTACAAGTCTAAAAAAATGCTATATGGTTTGAAGTGAGCTCCAAGAGCTTAGAATAAAAGGATAAATGGTTTCCTAGTTGAGTTTGGCTTCAAGAAATGTGTGTTTGAGCATGAAGTTTATGTAAAGACGGATACAAATGAAGGTGTGATCATACTTTTTTTATATGTGGATGATCTGTTGTTCACAGACAGCAACGATAAGAGTATTTCTAAGTTTAAAAGTGATTGTATGAAAGAATTTGAGATGAGAGACCTTGGCATAATGATATACTTCATTAGCATAGAGTTTCACAAGTCAAAAAGGGGACTGCTTATGCATCACATGAGATATGCTCTTGAGATATTGAAGAGTTGTGATATGGAGCATTGTAATGCTTCCATTACCCCAACTGAAGCAAGGTTGCAGTTGTCCAAGAGTGAAGAAGAACAGAACATAGATTATACTCAATATAGAAGGTTAATTGGATCATTATGTTAGTTGTGCAATACGCGACCAAGTTTGGCGTTTAGTGTCAGTATTGTGAGTAGACTTATGGATAGACCAAAGGTGTCTCACTTGGAAGCAGTCAAGATAATTCTAAGATACTTCAAAGGGTCTATTGGCTGCAAAATTCTCTTTCCAGCAACAGATACGGGCAGAAAATGCAATTTGCTTGGTTTTATCGATTTCAATTGGTGCGGAGATAAAGATGATTATAAGTCTACAACTGGATACATCTTTATGTTTGGTGGAGCACCAATCTCATGGTACTCGAATAAGGAACATGTAGTTGTACTCTCATCTTGTGAGTCAAGTATATTGTTGCTTCGTTATGTGCGTGCCAAGCTGGTGGCTAATGAATCTATTGGAAGAGTTGGGCAGCAATGAGGATGTGGTTGTCACGCTATTGGTTGCTAATGTTTCAGCCATTAACCTTGATAATAACTCAATTGCACATGGGAGGAACAAGCACATTCAGATGGGGTTTCACTACTTGAGAGAGCTTGTTAGCGAAGGCAAGTTAAGATCAGGATATTGTAGAAGTGAATACCAAGTTATTGATTTGTTAACTAAGGAAGTCACAAATAATGTGTTCAAGAGGTCGAAGATGAGCATGAATATGAAAGAGTTGGAGCACTTGAATTAAGGTGGTGTGTTGGATGAAATATCAATAATTTAAGTGTTATAACTGATTAACACAGAGGTATAACCAGTTACAACTGATGGAAAAGCACTTCTAGGACCTGAAAAAGTTATTTTTGCACTGTGGTAACTAATTACAACTGTTTTGTATTATTTTTTTTGTTTAAGTGGTAATCGGTTAACATGTTATATTAACTAGTTACATGCACGAATTTTGGCTTTTTCTTGTTGCTTAAGGTTTTGTTTTAGGTCCCAATTGTTAGACATTACTTGTACAAATGATTTAGAGGCATCTCACCTCAAAGTTAATGTCATTATTGACTCTCTCTCTCTCTCTCTCTCTCTCTCTCTCTCTCTCTCTCTCTCTCTCTCTCTCTCTCTCTCTCTCTCTCTCTCTCTCTCTCTCTCTCTCTCTCTCTCTCTCTCTCTCTCTCTCTCTCTCTCTCTCTCTCTCTCTCTCTCTCTCTCTCTCTCTCTCTCTCTCTCTCTCTCTCTCCCAAACACTAAACGTTCATTGATACCAATTGTGTAATTATATATTCTAATAAAACTTCTATAAAACATTTAATTTATGTATACGTTCGATGTAGATATATAAAATATGGTCTATTATTTATAGGCCTTAGATCAATTAGAGTCATATAACTTTAATTATAACTACTTTTAAAATCACAAATATAAGTAGTTGTTTATTATAACCTTTATATTAAAAAAACGGTAAAATATATTTTTGATCTTCATAAATATCTCATATTTACTTTTAGTCTCTCTAAAAGTTTTCTTTAAAGAATTATCCTTCTAAAAATTTTAATTTTAATTTTTGGACCCTCGTGCCAAAATCACTGCTAATTCAGTCGCTAAAATCGTCACTAATTTCGTCGCTAAATTATAAAAACTGTTACTCCTTCCGTTCCTTTTTAATTGACGTTTTAGCCAAAAGCTCTCCAACCAAGATACATGAATTGCTATAATTTTTTTTCCATTCTACCCTCATTCTCTTTCCAAATAAAACTCATTAAATTATTTAGTTCAAATAATTAATTCCATATTTTGGGGCACACAACTCTCTCTCTCTTCCGTAACTACTCCTGAATATTTGGAATTAATCTTGCATGCTATAAGAATATGTACTGTTGTTTCATTAAATATTTACTTTTACTATAAAAATATTTATTGCTTATTGTTTCAATGAATGGCTAAAGGAAAACTTAAGTTTCCCACCGTAAAAATACTTATTCCCTCCAATTATTTTAATAAAAACGTAAGTTTCCCACCATAAAATTAAAACCAATGATGAGGTTGAACCAATAATAAAAGGAGTAGTATATATAATATGGTTTCATATTATAAGTTCAAAATATTTATATGTCATCAAATATGGCTTTAGAGGAGGTTGAAGCAACTAATGACATTGATGAGTCATATGAAGATAATTTACAAGAGGAGGTTGAAGGAAACAATGACATTGATATATTTTTTATTTCATGTGTGTTTGTTTTTTATGTGGTGGTTTCTATACTTAAATTCACAGTGATATTTCATGTGTGTTTATTTTTTATGTGGTTGTTTCTAGTAATTTTGTTATTTTTTAAAAAAAAATTATAGTGTATGTTGCAGAAAATTTTGAAGCAGAATCTAGAGAAAGAAAGAAATTAAGAGTCTTAAGCAATGAAGAACGCATGTCTATTTATCATGAGCTACTACAAAAAAGCGTTGGTGGACAATTACGTAAAGGAGCTACAAATGAGGTGGCTTCATCAAATTCGGTTCCTATAAGAACTGTTCAACGTATTTGGAAAAGAGCAAAAGAAAGTGAAACGCGTGATGTCTCTCATAGGAAGATAAAAAATTGTGGACGTAAGAGAATTTCAATTGATGAGAATCAAATTCGTGAACTTCCTTTCAGTCAAAGAACAAACATTCGATCTTTAGCTTTTGGGTTGAAAACCAATCCAACATCGGTGTTCAGGCTTATAAAATCAGGGCTTATACGGTGTAATTCAAATGCCATAAAACCATTATTGAAAGAAGAAAACAAAATATCTAGGCTGGAATTTTGTTTATCAATGCTTGAAGGTACACCACATGATCCAATGTTTAAAAGCATGCACAATATTATTCATATTGATGAAAAATGGTTTTATATGACTAAAAAATCCGAGAAGTATTATTTGCTTCCAGATGAAGATGAGCCATATCGAACATGTAAGAGCAAAAATTTCATTGCCAAAATTATGTTCTTAGTTGCTCAAACTCGGCCACGATTTGACGCAGGAGAAAATGAAACTTTTTCGGGTAAAATTGGTGTTTTCCCGTTTGTTACCCATGAACCGGCTCAAAGGTCAAGTATTAACAGAGTTGCAGGAACAATGGTAACAAAAGCAATAACTTCGGTTAAGAGAGATGTGGTAAGATCATTCCTTATTGACAAAGTCCTACCGGCTATAAGAGAAAAATGGCCAAGAGATGACTTGAAGTCAACAACGCAAGGACACATATAAACCATAATGATCCTTTGTTCTGTGAGGCTGCTACCAAGGATGGGTTTGATATTCGTTTAATGTGTCAGCCTGCAAACTCTCCAGATTTAAATATCTTAGATCTTGGGTTTTTCTCGGCTATACAATCATTGCAATACAAGGAAGCACAAAAAACTATTGATCAACTTATCGATGCAGTGGTGTTTCCAGTGATTTCTGGTAAACAACCGCTAGTCTTCCAAACTATCGAATAATCTTTATTAACGCTACTCAATCTCTCTGGTAACTCACAGGATCGACTAGATTGATCCTAGGACTCCTTGGATATTAAAGTTACTCTCACAATCGAACAATTATTCATGGTTGCTATTGTACAAGTGTTTGGTTTATTTCGATCCTTCTCTCTAAGAGTTTAAAAATGTGGTCAAATTGTACATGAAAACTAAATCATACGAATAAATGCTAATTGTAATGCTGATTGAAGAGACATATAAAACTGTATGAAAAATGAAGTAAATGGTTTCGATTTGCAAAACATTTAACATAAAAGGTTTCTGGAATGTAGAAGTTTAAAATGTGAAGAAAGCGTTTAATGCAATTTTAAGTAAAAGGATGCGTTTGAAAAACAATACTTGGAAGTAAAGGTATTGAAAGCGTAACAGTTCTCTGAAATATAAAGTGCTCGAAATATAAAGAAAGCAATAAAGAGTAAAACTTTTGAGGAAAAGACTTTGAAATGAAAAGACGATAAATAAAGAAACTTGTAAATGTTATTCGATAAAAAGAAAAGAGGAAAGTACTGGAAATGGTAAAAAGGCTTTCATTAAGTTAGAAATACATGGTGCTATCATACATACATCTCTCTTGCATTCGTTTCCCTTGCCATGTGGTAGTTTGAATGTTATTGAGTATTTTGTATAACAGATATGACACACTGAAATCCTAATACTAAGACTTCTATTTATACTAATTCGACCCTAACGGTCTCGCTATAGGATCATGCCACGTTTCGAACATGCAAGACAATGCTTCTTTCATCTTTCCACGTGTCCCCAAATGCTCCAACACATAACTTTCAAACTTTGAAAGTCCCGCTTCCATTTAAATTTTAAATGCTTTGGTGTTTCTCCGTTTCGAACGCTCTTCCCAAACCTAGCCTCGCTGTTGTTTCGAGACCCCTTTGGATATTTTCCCATGATCACCGTTCGAAGCTTCAAGCTTTGACACACTCATTCGAAACACTGCTTCTGCAACTTCGAAATATGGTGTTCAATTCCATTTCGATCAGAACTTTTAACTCTTTTGAATTCTAGATAACATTATCAAAATCTTCAGCCAACAAATTGCCCCTTTAAAATATGTATTTTGATCTCTTTGAGAAATACCTATTTTAAACATTTATACAAGATTTTGATAGGATTTTCGAATCATCATAACATTTAATGCCTTTGACTCCAGTCACATCAATCATAGCACCTTTTGAGTTCCTTAACCGCCCAGAGTCACTTCACAGCGTGGAGCAGTTATAAGTAATGATTGTTTTTAAATCACGCCTATTACCTATATCACCTTCTCGCCACCTCTTCATCACACCAACCCATGATCTCCACGTATCACACTTTTACTCGGTGGATGTTTAATCTTCTCATTATAAAACGTCAATTTACTCTTCCTTTTCCTTTTTTACACTCTAAATCTTTCATACTCTGAATTTTCACTCTTCTTCTCTCATAAACAATCTAAGCTCTTAAACAACAAAAATGTCTTCCTCCACCTCTTCCCAACTCAAGAAAGTCTCAAAGAAGAAGGGAAAGACTACAGGAGCAACCATGGAGAGTAAAATCGTCACCATTCAAGGCCAATCTGCTCTTGCTCCTCAAATGATTTCCAAAGAAAAAGAAATGTTGTACGCATCACAGGTACTCATCCCTACCCATGTTGCTGGTAAGAGGTTAGCCTTAAATGGTCCTCTTACAGTTTTTGAAATACTAAAGGACACCAGGACAATTTTTCCCGTATGTTATAGCTTCAAACCTTTATTTAACAAAATGGATACCCCTAGGGTAGTAGAATCCCTCAGTTCGAATACCGCAGAAACCCCAACTGTTCCTCCCAAGGACCCATTTGTTTTGGATTATGTAAAAAGCAATTTTAAACCATTTAGATCTTGCCCTACTCCTGATATTGCCTATCAAAATTGGTTCGCGAAAGTAGAAGCCAAAAAATCCCAGCAATGGGAAGAACTAGGCATTTATAACCTCATTAAGCTATCGAAACCTGGATTCACCTATAGCCACCCTCTGCTGTTCGCGTCCCTTTATTTCTGGGATAGTACCTACAACACTTTCCATCTCCCAGGTGGAATGATTACCCCAACTTTCTTTGATATAGCGGCTATTACTGGGCTGTCGCCAGTGGGAGAAACTTATGTTCCTGACAACGAAGAACACTCCAGCATAATTGACTTCAAAGTCAAGTTAGCCAGCTTTTCCAAATTTATCAGCCATTATCATGCTGAAGGGGATAATGTGTCTGACATAGAGCATATTGCATTCTTAACCCTGTGGCTGTCTAGGTACGTTTTCTGCAGTAGATCCCTGCAGGTAGCTAGTAGATTCATTCCTCTAGCTAGGGATTTACACGAAAATCGCAAAGTGTGCCTAAGTGAATTACTCTTAGTTGACCTCTATGAGAGCCTGAGGTCAGCCGTTTCGAGTCTCAAATCCCACACCTCTAAAAACATTCTATTAGCTGGCCCATTTTGGTTACTCCAATTATGGCTAAACGCCATGTTCGAACCTTCTTTACCAACCGCCAACACCATAGATGAGCAAGATTCAGAAATAAGTGATAGGATAGTCGAAGGCACTAGGCTTCGAAGACTAACTCCTAATGATGACAAGGATGACTTCAAGGTTCAATTCTCGAAGTACATCATGATCCTCTCCAAAAGGCATAAGTTCGAAGAGAGCATGGCGCCTTTTGCTTCGAGGACTCATGGACCCTCTTGGTTCACCATGGCTCTCTCAGAAGCCATCAAGAGCAAGGAGATCCAAGATGTATGGAGAGCTTTTTTGCTTCCTAGACTCATCTCTTCAAGGATAACCCCAGCTAAGAATCAAATTCTCCTCTTTGCCTATCAACCAAACTTCGTTTCGAGGAAGTTTGGCTTATGCCAACTGATTCCTGAACCTTTGTTCCAGACTGAGAGCGCCATCACATCTGGTCGAACTTTCAAGGCAAGGGAAGCCAAGATTCAACAAGAACAATATCAAGGCTTTGCCCAATTTGAGCTGATAGCCTTCGAACCTACCCATCTCGCGGCTAAAGGGTTTCTGGAGTGGTGGATTAAGTTTTATCAAACTTGCATGTTCGATACACTTACAATTCGACAGAAACTAATTGATGCCTTCGATGTGCAGGTACCAGCAAAGAAAGGTATGTTTACTCATGCCAAAGAGATAAAAGCTTTTCAAAATTATTTTGAAACTACTTACGACCCCACGCGCTTGGACTCCACTGTGCATCAAGCAGCTGAGACCTTGAAGGAAAAATTTAAACAAAAAGTTTCTAAGCTAAAACTTCCTTCAGGGCTGTCACCTGAGGATAGGTATAGGTTGGCATTCGAAATGCATCCACCTAAATTTCCCAGATTACCTACCTCAGAACTGGCTCTGGCTTGGTTTCCCCCATATCCATGGTGGTTTACTTGCAAAGAGATGTTCAAATATCTTCAAAGGAAACCAAAGCCATCTGAGACTTGTGACATGGGCTCGACACTGGCTTCATGATTTCCCAGGACATCTTCGATATGACCTTTCTGCCATGTCAATTAAATCTGATCAAGGCACAGGTGCGAATGCTTGGGAACAATCCCAAATGTCTTTTATTTTCCATATCTTTAACCTTTGCCTTAATTGTTTTGATTTTCAGCTATCAGGATAAAGACTGCTGCCTCGAAATCGAAGGAAGGGAGTGCCTCTCAGACCTCCATTGAAACTACTGAAAAAGCTAATCCACCCGAAACAACTGCTACTGCTGCAACTACAACAACAATAACGCCAACAACAAGTGCCCCAATTCCAACGGTAATCACTTAGTTTTTTGATGCTTCGAATTCACTCAAGCTTTTTATATCTAACTTCGTTAAAATTCGTTCAGACCAACAAGCTTCCTCCCACTACTCCTAAGAAGCGAAAACCAAGCACTACTGGGGAAGATCCCACTGCTGGAGGAAACTCAAATACTGCTTCGAAGAAGAAGCTAAAGAAAGCTACACCTAAAAGTACTGTTCCGACTAGCGTCTCTGGGCTCGACTCCAGGGATGCTGCTCCCTTACCAAAATCCAAAAATCCACCTTCGACCTCCAACCCACAGTTGGAACGCATAGCTAGTAACCTCTCCTCTGAGGGCCCACAGGTAAATCGAACTTCCTAAAAAATGTTTAACTTCTTATTATCTTGGTGAATATTTTTCTTTAACATTCTGCCACTCTTTGCAGAACATCTTGAATCCCACTTCTACCATTTCGACCTCACCGTCCAGAGCTGCTGCTCCGCTTAACTCCTCTCCTCAAGGAGATTCCAGCAATTTGGTCCAAAACAAAGGTTCTTCCAATGTGGCGGTTTTAGCTGGAACTTCTGAACAGCCAGATGACCAAGGTACCTCCATTCCTCTGAAAGAGGTAAACGAAACGATACTTCAAACGTCTGCAGAGGATTCACAAAGGGTTCTTCAAAAGTCCCCTCTTGAAACTCTTCAAGAGGACCCAAAGGATACTCAGACTGAAGAAGAAAAAGCTGATTCTGGGCGAGAATTCGAAGAATCTGCAGGCGAAGAATCTGAGGAGGAAAACGCCAATGAAGAGGAAAACGCCAATGATGGTTCGACTGCAGGGACGGAGTCTAACGCACATAGCGGCGAAAGGGATGGTATCGAAGTGGTAGATTTGGACGAAGATGAAGAAGACCAAGAGCACGAAGCAAATGAAGGGGATGGTGATGCAATCAACGAAACCCTAG